TTGCTGATGTGGCACTGCTGGCGTGGCACTGTTGCTAACATGGCACTTGCTGACGTGGCACTGTTGCTGTCGTGGCACTGCTGACGTGGCACTGTACCAACCCGGAAATGCATGCAAAGGGTGGGTGGGGAGGGAAAACGCAGGTAGGGAACCCACCCAACAATACTTTCCTCCCGGCCTGTTACATCTTCGACGCCACACGGGTCCTACCGGACCCGACTTAGGGCCAGAGGGACACATTAGGGCCTAAAGGCCCGACCTTGGGGTACTACAGGCCGTAAAGGCCACATCTTGGACCAGACCCGACGGGCAGGCCCAAACGACATTACCGTTTGGGCCTGGCGGCGCTTTTGAGGCTGTCGCCCGCCGGTTGGGACTGAACCGTCCATCTGGACGGTTCAGGGCACGGCCAGGCCTCACAGCATAGAGGGCGGCCGCTGCCCCACCGGTACAAAAGTAGCGGTCCGACCTCACTCCAGGGATCGAACCACCGGCATTCTACGCGGTGCGTTATGGTGCGCGCCAGAGCGCTAGGGCTATTCTTAGCACAGGAGTACGAGGAGCAGCGACAGCAGCATTAGCGCAGCAGCGGCAGCGAGCGGAGCAGCAGCAGCGGCGACTGAGCACATCAGCGGCCATAGCCGCCTGAGGTATCGGGAGCCGGGGGTTCTCTCCTCCCTCCCGTCGCCAGTCCCCTCTCTCTCTTTCTCCTCCTCGACTCCCTTCTTCTTCTTCTTCTTCTTCTTCTTCTTCTTCTTCTTCAGACTTCGTCTTCTTCTTCTTCAGACTACTTCTTCTTCTTCAGATTGGAGACTTCATACTAGTTGGACAAAGATCAGTGTTGGACTTCGGTGGTATGAGACTGTGGTACTTACCGGATTCGAGACTTGGAGATTGTTGGGGTTGATACTCGGCGGCATCACAGTTCGGACACCGGTTACATTTGGACTCTATATCTCCGACATTGGTGACTTATTGTCCTCGACATTTTGATCTTGTTTGATGACATTTTGGACTACCATATCGGTGACCTATCGGATTCTATTTTGGTGACCTTCGGTGCCGTCTACCTCCCCCACCTCCTTCGTCTCTCCTCCCACCTTTCATCTGTGTATGTGTGTACGGGGCCTGAGCATTTTCCATGTATGGCTCAGACCCCACCATCTCACGATTGTATGTGTGTGGAGTGATATCTGTGTGAGTCAGTCTATGTGAGTCAGTCCGTTATCAGACTTCCGCTGCATACATGCTCATCCTATATTGGTTGATCTTTGGTTCTGCCCCATGCTCGTTGATATTCTCACGAGTATGTAACACGGCCCTAATCAACAGATAAAAAATAAATTTAAAAAAAAAAAAAAGAGGACTACTTCCTTTTTTTTTTTCTTTTTTTTTTTGTATATCTGTCGATCTATTATGAGTGGGACATGTCAGAAGAGTACTATGAACGAGATCTAGGCTAGGTTCCGCAAAGTTTCGGCTTTCACAAAATCCGATCTTGAAAAAAAAAATCTGCGAAATGGAGTAAAGATGCGATTTTCAGAAAAGAACAAAATCCAGTTTCTGAGAATATGGCAATCTTCGAATATGCCTAACGAAATGTTGGTAGGCT